TGCCACCCCATCGAACACAAACAAATGGCTATAAATTACTTACTAAACAGAAAAAATATATACCCAATATCTATAAAAAACAAACAAATAGAATTAAACATCATTCAACAAATTCTTAAAGAAAACGGATTTAATAACTATAAACTAAATAAAAAACTTAATAATACAACAAAACATACAGGACATGCTTATAACACAATCAATGAAACAATGGACATATTGAAAATAATAAAAAACAAAAGACACAGGGACACAATAGAAAAATATTACATATATCAAAATTATAAACAAAAATTATGCCTTAATGATAATAGTATTGAACTTAACAACCCCATATTTAAAGCACTTCAGTACCTTGACCTCAACCCTGACAAACCACCTTTCACCCACTAGCACCGCAGTCGGTAACCAGCCACGATCCAATTCAGTCCTGTACATCTCCGTTCTCTTACATACGAATACGATATTACTTCTTGGGTAAGTTCACATGATTTATTTTTACTATTTATTTATTTTGTTTTCTATATTTCTATTTTCAATTGTCATTGATAAAATTGAAACTTTACTTCACAGTCATACACAAAATATTGACGTCACTACAAATAAGAAATAAAAACCTAATAGTGACCTGTGATAATACAACCAACGAAGAAAAATACAAAGGACCAGAACATCAACAGAAAAATGAAGAATATAAATTATAAAAAACAATAACAATCAGTAATTCATGTAATAAGTTTAAACTACATAACACCCGTTGATGGCTAAATTATAGCCGAAACTAGTCGTGTAAGTTCCAATGTAATCGAGTACTCGATAGGAAACGTTAAATGATGTTTTAATCTTTTAACAATATTATATTTGTGATTGACAGCAAAATTTTTTAATAAATATTTTAATAATATATAATCACAATATGACGCATTTACAATATCTTATTGGGTGATGATATAAATACAATGAAGAGGAAAGTGTGACAAAGTTTGAATATTTGGGAACAACAATAACAAATCAAAATAGTTATGAGGAAGTTAGGAGGAGACTAAATTCCTGAAATGCTTGCTACTTTTCAGTTCAAAATATTTTGTCTTCTCATCTGATTTCTAGGAACCTAAAGATTAAAATATAATAAACAACAATTTTGCCTGTTTTTGTATGGGTGTAAAACGTGGTCTCACTCCGAGGGAGGAACATAGATTGCAGGTGTTTGAGAATAATATGTTGAGGAGGATATTTGGGCCTAGGAGAGAAGAGGATGGGGCATGGAGAAAACTACATAATGATGAGCTTGAAAATTTGTACTCCTCCCCCAGTATTGTCAAGGTGATTGTGACAAGAAGAATGAAATGGGTGTGGCATGTGGCGCGCATGGGTGGGGCAGGAAGTGTGCACCAGGTATTGGTCAGGAAGCCTGAAGGGAAGAGACTGCAGGGGAGTCCTAGATATAGATAGCAGTATAATATCAAGTGGGATCTGTGGGAGATAGGAGTTGAAGGTGATTAGATTTTGTTGGCCTAGGACAGGGACCAGTGGAGGGCTTTGGTTAATTTCGTGATAAACCTTGGGTTCCCTAAGCTAGGTAGTTAGTTATGTAAGTTTAAGGTGGTAATGTCAAAAACAGTGTTCATGGAATGTGGAGTAAAGAATATCTCTTGAACTTTACTATATTTAAAAAAGTATGCATTTCCTGCATTGTGTCATGCCATTTGAGTAGAATGTTTGCTTTTTGCAGTCCTCCTCCACCCAAAGCTGGTCGATATGAGTTTTCACCAAGTTCATCAGCCAGTGCGAAGTTCAGCAACAATGGTAGCCCAGACGATTTCTCAGATGATGATGATGACCACCAATCAAAGTGAACAAATATGGCTGGTAGTGAATGAGCAACATACTTTATTGTTGTATTTTGAGATGAGCTCGTTCAGCTTTTACACAAGCTGTGATCAATAATATCTGGTTGAAATATGATAATGTAAGACCAAAGCATTAATTTTGTTTTTTATGAAAATTGATTTGACTTGATACAATTCAGAATCTTTCAGGAGTCATAAGCTGAAGAGAGAAGTAAAATATTGCTTGCAATTGTCATTATCATAATAGTGTGTTTGAGGTGAGAATTATGCACTCCATAAGGAAGAGAAAATATCCCTAGAAATATATACTCTTGATTTAATCATCATATATGTAGTGAACATGAAAATGCACATTGCTTACCAATAAGTAATTTTATAATGTAGGTATCATGCAAATTTATGTAAGGAGAAACATTAGAAACGTGTTATGGTATGTGGTTTAACGTACAGCTCATTTGTGAATGATTTCAATATTATGAGTAGGGCACTTGTATGTTGTTGCTGAGAATTACTGTTTTCATCTCATATTTATAAAATTTATTTATTAATGTGTTGTTGAGTTGCTTATTCTAATTTCTGATTAGAAAGTTGTTTTTATTGTAGCTTTGTTCCTAGACACTTGATACTTGTTGCCTAAGAACACAGGGAAGTGTTTTTTATGTAAATACATTATTTATTGTAGTACTGCACTGCAGTGGAACATGCACAATGTTTTAGTGGTGAAACATTTGAATTGCTCAGTGTACTGTGATGAGTGAGCAGAAACCAAGTTGTTATTTGAGTATTGTGACATTTTGCTCAGTCATTTGTTTATGTGTAAGGTACAGCTATATAATTTTCTGTCCTTATCACAGGACTACATGAACAATTTTTTGTTGTTGCATTGAAATGGTCGAACTCTTGTGTTTTATTTCAAGATCACAGGTAGTTCAAAAGCATGTGCATTCTTAAGTACAAGGGATGGAGGGGGGGGGGGGAATTTGGCCTGGACTTTTATTTATTCAGATGTCTACAGGCATTATACACATATGAAATAATGTTCAATTTTCTGTGTTTTGTTCTTGTTTTTCAATACATTTTTCCACCCCCTGGGTAACTTCAGATGCCAGCATCAAAGAAATATTTTGGCTGACTGCAGAACCAAGATTGCACTCCTTCAGTTGCCTTGTTATTGGTGTTGAACTGGTACTCCTTAAGTGGTCAAAAGATGTGAAAATCACATGGGGAAATACCTGAACTTTCAGGAGGGTGAGGTAGCACTCCCCCCTTCCCCCCCCCACCAAATAGTATATCAAGAACAGTGCCTGTCACCTATAGAGAATGTGGATAGGCATTATCATGTAGGATAATGATGCTTTTGGCCAGTTGGCTGTGCCTGTTGGTTCTGATGGTGGGCTTAAGTTTGTCTTTGAGTAGATCACAGTAGTGGTGTGCACTGCTGTTGCTGGACTTAATTTTGTTGCAGATAATGGCTTCAACATTGCCAACACTCATATTCACTTCTTCAGTCACTTCTTATGCAGATATGTGCCTGTCTTGTCATATAAGCTCATCTGCTCTTTGCTTGCTTGGTTCACTACCACTGCAGGGTGTGTTGCATGTGGCATGTTTGATATATGTTTTCCTGGCTGTCTTTGAATGATCGGCACCTTTGGAACATAGAACATGAAAAGCACTCTTGCCCAAATTGTAATTGAAGGCAACAGTGGATATCAACTGCCTTTCATCTTCAGTACACAAAAATATGGTGATAATACATGGTGCAACAGGGCTTAGAACATCACATGCCACCATGATGGGTAGACTGGTGATAAAAATCCATGTCATATTTAAATACCCTTCATATTTATCAAGATGAGAACATAATACATTAGTCACTGTTCAGAAGTTAAATTTTGTCTCTTAGATATTTTCTTAGGAATAAAATGTTTTCATATGATTTCCTCATTTAATAAATTCTCCATGTAGGTAAAATCACTTTTATTGTTGTTAGGAGGAAGGTCTGGTAAATATCTCCCTTGTAATTTTGCTGAAAGCAAATTATAAGCCATAACCTTTCCAGTGAATGAACTAAAATATTGTTAACAGTAAATAACCTCTCTGGACATATGCTTCCCTTTCCATCACTGATAATAAGAGACTGGACCCAACTTATGTGTATGACCTACCTCAGTATTTCACCAGCAGATTTGATTGATGGGTGTTGTATGGTTCCCAGAAATAACAGTGACTGTTTTCATATTAAGTTTGAACTGACTGCTTTTGGTAATGAAGATTGTATTTTCTTTGAGGTAAGAACTATATGTTTAAATATGACTAAGACAGGTTAAACAGTAGCAGATAGCAAGAAAATTTCTCATATTGTTACATGTGTATTTTTCCAGAAACAATAGTTTTAAATTTTTTGTAGGAGAATGTAAATTTAAGTATGGGAAGAGGTTTACTGTTATTGCTTTTTCTATATCCTTACCAGTAGAATGGATAAAGTGGCTGCATTTCATATTTGATTATTTTTATTTATAACTTAATTGGGGGTAATTGTTATGCAAAACCTAGCTTTTAGCAGTCTTGGTATTCACATACCATATTTAAATTTATGCATATTACTGGCAAAATAATTTTGTGTGTTGCTATTAGGACAGGATTTAAAATAATTTCAAATCTAAAGGGTTCTGACAATGGTGGATTACATTTTAAATCATTCATTGTCTGGACTTTTGCATCGTCCTTGTTTAAGAAGAAGAAGAAACTATGATATTTCAGAAACTGGCTCTGTTTCTATCTAGCTCTATTTAACGGATCCAACTGAGTAGGTACCTCTTGCCTGAAGAAGGAAACAGAGGAAGTTTCAGAAATGTGGTTTCTTCTTTTTGAACAAGGCGATGGAAAAGTCCAGACAATGAATAATTAAAATGATTTGTTCACCATAAGTTGTAATGATTGGTATCATAATATGGCTTAAATATAACAGTAAGTTTATGTCAGTGACAGATTTGTGGTATCCTGAATTAAAGAGAATCTTGTATTATGTGCCACAAATCATAGCAGGTGAGAAGGCAAGGGAAAACAGTATTGTGGTGGGGTACCTCTCAGCAGGCAGACGGTAGGAAAAAGAATCACCATCTGAAGTAGTATAACCATTACTACATGATATGCTCTCCACAGAGACAGGCAACTAACTGACCTGCTTCACTTCTGTCCACATCATTTGACCAGGTTAGGACATCCATGTATGACTCCATGCATGCCATTATGTATCATGAAACATCGCTTTTGAAAGTGGGTAAATTCCAACATTAATTCTGTTTGTTTGACCAGTCTTGCTTTAATTATATAATGATGTGTGTTTACAGTTAAAGAATGTTGTTGTGTTTGGCAGTTCTCTCTCTCATATTGATGCTTGGTATGTATTTTTGTTTAATTCTAAGTATTCTCTACTTGAGTTCATGAAATGGTCTTACACATTCTACCATTCAGTGGTAAGTTTTTATATTTTACCATTCCTAAATGTAGTTGTATTAATAGTATCAGTTTGTGCCTTTATCTTCTTCATTAATACAGTGAACCAGCTTGTTAAAATATGTATTTGACTCATCTTTGATAGTTGCAGTAGGTGTTCTTGCACAGGAATTAATCATGTACCTCTCTCTTCATCACATTTTTGTTTGCAAATTTTCAGTTTTTGTTTTCAGTGCACTGTATTTGTGACTGAAATTTATTGGTCCTGACAAACATGAAGGTGATGATGCAAACAATTATAAAACAATAGAAAGGCATGTAGTAATTATCAGGAACTTTTATCAGTTTCACTTCCCAGCAACAATAAAATTTGGAAGCTCTTAGTCAAACACCTTGTAATGTGTCAGATATTATTTCAATGTCCTGAATATGCAGTGTACATAAAAGGTTTAAAAATGTCAGTAATGCACATATGTGAAGTAAAATAGTAACATTTCATAATTCAGTTCACAGTTTTATTTCTTAGTGCAGTATTTGTTGGAAGATAATAGACCTGCACATTACTAAAAATGGTCTTGGCTAGCTGTTACGAGAGTTATGTGTATGTGTTGCTTACAGCCAGTGTACTATAAGAAACATTCGAGAACATAAGTGATAAATATTTATTTGAGTATTAGTTTGAAAACTTGAGTGAAGTGAACTGCATAGTGCATAGGATGACAGTGGATTTTTCAGCAGCACTCAACTGCAATTAAGCTAATTACATTAAAGAGAGAGCTGGTTGAACAATCCAAGCCACTTTAATTGTTCTTAAACATACTTCTTATTACTTTAACTTCAGTGGTAAAACATTTGCCACATATGACTGATTTAGTTTGCTATATAATGCTGTTCTGTTGGTACTTTACCATTTCAGATTTGCTTGTTGACTGAAACAGTAAACTTCTTATCACTGTAACAACCCAGAAGATGGCCATCTTCAGACTCACCACCATGAGGTCCTAAAGTTAAAAAAGGAACATGATATTAGAGGAATTGCAAAACTTCCAACCAGAATTATCTCTGATTTACCTTCATGATACTCTTGTGAAAGAAATCTAATTATATTACAGCCTAGTGTGTGGAAACAGGAAACTCAACGTTTTAGTGAGAAAATTAAAGTAAAGAACCCATGAGACTCAATCTGTTATTCTTAATGCTGGATGCAAAAAAGAAATATGATTTCACAAGGAGTTAATTTATGACACAGTATAATGAGAAAATAATGTCATGGTCAGAACAGTACACATATGTAGTTATTAAAACTTGATCACTTGCTTGTTACGTTGAATGAGGAATTGCATAATGTGTGTGACATGACTGAAAAACTATGAGAATGTAAGGACCAATAGAGAGAAATTTGGGGCTGTGAAAAGGAAAGCATCTAGTTGTTTGTGTTTATGAGATGATAAAGTTGCGTCATATTGTGATAAATATATATTTGTTTAAATCTTGTCAGTCTAATCACAATAAAATTCCTATTAAATATTAAAATATTACTATAATTAACATTTAAATATTTAAAATATATTAAATGATGTTCTCTATCGAAATGTTCGATTTACATTAGATCATCACTTTTTTTACACTTGTTTGTGTTTCTTTATGAAATTATAGGCTCCATATAAATGAAGAACCAACAAGTCTTACATATTCAGCAAATTATGGTCATAAGGACAAATGCAGGATAAGGGACCGTAGAAAATGTAGGAAAATAAATTAAAGTCCTTAATATTTATTATATTCCATGAAAGTCACTTTGGGTGCATGCTAACCTTTTTTGCCTTAACACTGATTTTAATTATATTATGTAATGCTCTTGCCTTCAAATATTAATAGGTGATGTTCTTCTACTTCTCTGTATTTCGTTACCAACAAACTTAATGGTGTGGTGATATTGAGATTTGCTTGCATATTATCATTGTAATGTGAATATAGGCTGTGAAATAATAGTTTGTGTCTTGTTTAATTGAAATGTGGTTTATAATGTGTCAGATTTGGTAGGCACTGTTTTGTAAAGCTGATTTCAGAGAACAAATTATAATCATAATATATAACTGTTGTACAGTCATTCACAACACACAGGAGTCTAGTTTATATTATTTGCTAGATTTATAATATTTTCTGTAGACTAGTTTTAAAGATACATTCTTGTATTTTTAAGACAGTTTTACAAGCCCCTCACGTATTGTTTCAGACTGTATCTGATATTTATGATGCTGACATTTTATGTGTTGGCTTCTCTTATTTCACCAATTTGAAAGCATTTTCTATATGCTACAAGAATCATGATTAAAACTGGGAAAAAATTAATTTGTTTCATATTTGAAGCTGTTTGAACATAATGAACTTGGAGACCAAAGAGAGAGATCATTATTCCACAGAGCAAAAATGTACATTTAAACTGCAGACTATTTCTTCCATTTCAAATAAATTCTTCCATTGACTTGATGCTCTGTATTAAATGGTATATTTTCATTGCTTTGTTGATGTCATGACTATTCAACACAGCTGATATAAAAGGCTGCCATTACACATGATCACCAACCATCTCAATCCAATCCACATCTTCATAAGATTTATTTTAATGTTTTTGTCTCATTCTTCCAAGCTCTCTATGAAGTTTGTTTGCTTCATTTAAGCTGTGTATTCTGCATTATTTTATTACCATAGGATGTCTTACATAATGTGTATAAATCACAGATTTACTGCCCCTTTCCCTTGTAATGTAGTAAAATCCCATTTAAAGTATGAATTTCTAAGAAAGACTGGACTGATAGCACAGGCATTAATGTTTTATATGGAATGGGTAAAATGTTGTAATCTCCTTCTGTTGTCATGCCGCATCCTTCTTGTACCCCATGTGGTCCATACAAATTTTTTATATGAATTAATTTTTTTCCTTGGTTGTATTTTGAGCCACAACACAGACTGCCTAATATACACAATTGACATCATTCATTAATGTATCAGTTCATTTCATATAATTTGTATTTATTTCAGGTCCCTGATGGGTTGTGAATGGTAAATTATTCAAAGCTGCAACAGCATTCAGAACTTTATGCTCAACGCTGGGTTGTTGCATGTGTGTGTATGCCAAACTTGTGAATGAAATACTTTTCTGGTTGCACAGAAACTTCATCACTTGTTTGTTGTAATGTTTACTGTTTGTTGAATATTGGACCAAGTGACTGAAAAACACATGTCCAGGCCACTTTTGTTTACAAATATATTTCTGAAATTTGATTGTTTATTGTTACTTGTAGTGGTGAATTTTATACATGCTAACTTCATCATCTTTTAGCTTGATGAAAGATTAAGATTCTTGCCACTATTTGGATTTCATGCCTGTAACTTGAAAGTGTAGTGCTTCATCCATTACATGTATTGCCATGCTGTTTTGTAAGAAATTACTAACATAAGCACCTCTGCTCTAAGAGTAAGCAACAGAACATTTTTAAAATCAAACATTTTGCTTCGTTGTGATATATTTTAATGTGTCTTTGGTGTTTGGTAAATTATTTTTTGGTAGAAGCCTTTCCTACAGAGCACTAAGGGTGCAGTATTGATGATGATCTTCTGGGTTTCAGCACCATATAGACTGGTCAGTAGATGCTAACGTTTTGGAGCAACATACTTTCTCCATCTTCATGGTTGAAGTGATGATGCTGAAATCACGGATGAACCCAAACCGTAAACATGAAAGGGAAAATGGCTTCTCTCTGAGTCGGGTATGGAAGCCTCTCATGACCTGAAAGAATGGAGACAATCTGCCACCGATTAATGAACCTTGTCTTGTGGCTGACTTCATCTGTCCTTCCCTCCTCTCTCCATCTACCTGCACTCCTCTGATACCTGCTTGCAGTCTTCCTATTACCTCTACCTCATTCCATCCTGAAAGGCCTATTCCTTCAGACTTCCCTTCCTGCCAACCTATATAATCCCTCTCATTCTCAGCATTGTCACTTCAGCCCTGAAGATGGAAACAATATGTTTCTCTGAAATGTTGGCATCTACCAGTCTACACAGAACCAAAACCTAGAACATCATCAACACTGCCATGAAACCTTGATTCTCACAAGGGTACATTGATTGGAAACTGTTTTATTTTCTGGTCTATACATTCTTCTTGTCAGTGCTCTATTATATTATTCTTAAACTGACTTCATGTCTCTGTAAATGTGAATCACACATTTTATTATAGTTAATGTTGTGTATGGGACCAGGGAGAAAACTTACCATATATGTGACTGACATGAAGAGAAGTGACTTTACCTTTGTAAATAGATAAAAAATGTGTACGTACATCTGTTGCACACTGGTTGCTCTTCTTGAGTACATGTTTATTGTGTTTGAGTGGTGAGTATATTAATGTGGTTGCAAACAAATTGAGCTATTTTCCTTAATTTATGTGTTGGTATTGTAACAGTATTGTATATTTAACAAGACTGTAAGAACATGTTGTTAAATAGGCCACAATCCCATCAGTAGACCGTGGCACATGTTGGAGATAAATGGTCACCCTCACAGTTCAGCACCATTACACCCAAAGAAAGAGTGCCATAACATGTTTAATAAACACTGGGTAGACCCCAGAACCAATCTGGTGAAGAGAAAAAAATCTTTATCCCTATTAGGAATTAAACCCTGGTCATTCAGATTAGAGCCAGTTACTGTTAATAAATCTTTCAGTTTAAAATTATGACAACATACATGCAAATAAACTGTTCTAATTACAGTTAGCAGGGAGTCATCAACATTAATGTGCTTGCCTGAGAGCCATCAGCATAGTTTCTTTTCTGTGATTAATGGTTCTTTCCTAGTTGGTTTATTTTTTGGTCCTTGGCAAGATTAAGGGAGTCCCAGTATGTGGGCTGTTGGAAATATACAAACAGAATGAAGAATGCCTTATAAATATAAATTAGAATTGTAAGACTTGAGGTTCTCACAGCGGTGAGTATGAAGATATCCGTCTTCTGGGTTATTGCGCTGTGTAGTCTGGTCGATGTTAACCAACGTTTCAGAGGTCATACTGCCTCCGTCATCAGGGCGATGGTTAACATCGACCAGACTACACAGCGCAATAACCCAGAAGACGGATATCTTCATAAATTAGAATTGTCTCTGCAAAGAAATGGCATAGCATACCAGTCCGGGATGACTAATTACATGGTGTAGTGTCTTCATTGTACAGCTGTTATTCACTTTAAGAAATGAGTTATTGTAATGAACTTGAGCCAGTTCACACCTTCATAGCCTTGTTCTTGTATATTGCTTTAAAATCATTCTGTCTTGTATGCTCAGGTATCCCATGTGGCCGCTATCTGTGATGTTTACCAACTACATTGTTTTATATGTCTCAAGGCTTAAGAAGAAATGTGTACAAGATATTTTGATACCTGTGATGTAATGGAATTGTTTGCTATGGACTGAACCTTCCTGTTCATGCAGCCTCACAGCATACAATAAGTGAAACATTGGCAAGAACATGGAGTATATAAGACTGTACACTTTATTGTATTGAAGTCACTATTTTTAATTTTAATGTAATGCTTATTTATAGTTGGTTAGTTACTTTGATTGACTTGGAGAATTTTCACATTGGTTACACAATTTGCTCATTGTGTAAAGTATGCATCCTGCTTTTACCCTAATAATTCGTGGAAAGGTGTTTGAAGATTTATTTTCTTCCATATAATTTGCTTCATGAATACTGTTGCCAGCTAAATACAGAATGTGTATACATTCCTGACTGAAGTGCATTGTAGACTGATGTGGTAACAAGGGGAATTGTATTATGTTTCATGCTGGTGATAAAAGAAATAAATAAATAAAGAAATGTAATGTGTATTATATTTCATTCTTAATTTCCTTGATTGACAAGGTTTTGATTCTAGGCATTGTTTTGCTTTTGCCAAATCCTGAATTAAGTTTTTGTATTATCCTCAATCCTTCCAGGCAAATGTTTGGAGATTTTTCATATTTTCCTCAGTCCATCCAGGCAGAATTTTGGGTAGTAGCTTAAAACTGACAATATCTGCTGTTTCCCACATCATTCCCAATTAATTATCCATTCAGCATCTTTTGATGCTATACAGAGGGACCTCCATTGTATAGGAGTCCCCTACCTATTGCCGACGTTAAGAATATTAATTATAAACAATTGAGAAATTTGTCTAAACGTAACTTCCGCTACCTTAGATAATCGATAACACTGATCAAGGCATGTCATATCAGTGTAAATAACACCAACTTATGAACTGTGGAATACGGCTACTTGGATTCTGAAACCAACTATATGTAATAACATTGAACGCGAGAAATTTATATATTGGATGTTGGTCAACAGTATTCAACTACGCCGTTTCCCGCTAACTATTCTAAAATTTATGTAGGTTAGTAAAGAAGAACAGTGGATGTGAAAGTAACTATTTTATCTTGAGAAGTGTAGATAAAGTACTGGAACATTTATTAAGATGGAAGACAGTGGGTGTAAGCGTCTGTTTTTGTTTATTTCTATGATTTAGAACGAAATATGTAGTGTATATAAAACCTGGCGAAGAAAGAAAGCGCCGGCAACCTCCGTAATGCGTTCTCCATTTTACCATAATTTTGAAAGGAAGTAAGTAGGCATTGAGAAATGGTTATAACCTCTATATTTCCAATGCAAAGATATTATTTAATGTCTACTTACTTCCCACCCACCCAGAAGAAACATATATAACATAACATAATATTCGCAAAAATTCCATTGCGCTTAAGCCTACGGTTACTAGACCCAAGACAGTTCCTTTTAACCTATCAAGCTACATTGTAAAGTTAGTCTACTTTGCATACTTTCATTTGAGCATGTCATGTGGAATTATATTCTGGGGAATCTCAACAGACAGCAAAAAATTATTTTACGTTCAAAAGAAAATTATTAGAATTATAACAGTTAGTAAAAGGAGACCCACATATAGGGAATTTTTAAAGAAATTTAATATTAACATAAAGTTAGTCTAGTCTGTCACCAATTTGAATTTGTTGGAGAAGTGTGAAAATATGTCAATATAAGGCAACTGTATAGGTTTTGTCTTCATTAGTGCAACTATAGGATTATTGTTTTTAAATTATAATTTATTCAGACCATCTTACAAGGAAGGAGGAATAAGTAAATCTTCAATATTCTGTAAAGATGTACCATATGAGATACATGTATTTTAAGTTACCGTTAAGTTATCATCTGGTTTTTTATTTTTCCAGCACCATTGGGTCCAAGGCTGAAACGTCTGAAAACAGATAAAAAGGGCCGTTTGGCTGCCCTGGAGAAGCTGAAACAGCTGAAGGGTAGTAAGCACAAATATGAAATATCGGGAGTTGTTAATGTGTATGATGAAGTGGATGAGAGGGAGTATACAAAGAAAGTTCTTGAAAGGCAAGATGATGATTGGATTGTTGATGATGGTATGTTATTTTATGTATGTAAGTTTAAGAATTTATTGTCATTGCTATTCTGTGTGTCTTATTTTGAATGGTGTTTCCTTTTTCTTTTCCTGTTCCTTCTATCTGTTATGCAGAGCTTATAACTGAAGAAATTACAGAGCACGACAGTATTATTAAGATTGATTTGGATTTGTGATCTAAGTATTTTACTTCTCATAGGACAATAATGAATGCAGCTTTAATTGGATACCTAGATGTATTTTTGTCACATTTTATGTTCACTAAATAGAACATTTGTAGATAAGGTGAAATAGGTATTTTATTTATGTTTATGAGGGGTTGAATTTAGTACATTAGGTAAGATTTATAGCACAATTAACATTATAATGAAATCATCTATGTTGAGGCTTGTTAAATTTTATCTTTGTTCCCTATCACGACAGATCAGTCCAATATTCGTTCCCTTCCCAGCTTTACCCCACCTATCACCCATCAATGAGTGTTTAATTAACTTGATGGCAGGTATGCATATGTAATGTACAGTGATAATATTTGGCAGCAATGCTGATAGCACATAATAGCCTTCCCTCTATGCACATTGACTGCATCATGACTTCCATGAGAATTATTTTAATGGGTTAATTTACATTGGGCCATATTATATGAGAAAAGAGTTGAAGCTTGGTAGATTGTGTATAACAGCTCAAATCTAGAATGATGTTTGTTGATATGCATTCAGTACCTTCGGTTCCACATATTTGCTCACCTGACATCTGTTACTGGTGATTTCATTGCATTGTCTGCTTTTTGACTGCCATCCAATAAAAGCTTCATATTTTTAAAAGATGTCACCATACAAGACATCACATCTAATGATATTATTGTCATATTGGTACTGCTGACAACAGAAGGTTATGAAATTCTGAAGTCTATTTACTTCCAATTGCATGTTGTTTGTATTGAGTTTTATAAAAATTGGCTAGTGAAAACTGGTTAGTGTGTTTCTTGTTGATGTCCATAGTTTGCATGTGATGAGCAGATACATGCACCTCACAAATAGCATTCTGAGGAAGAAACTGTGTTCCTTTAGAACTGTAATAAGAAATTATTTTTTTTTCACTGATCTGGTCTCATTAGTAATGTTGGAATAGGTATTTGGGGAGTATATATAAACAGGTTTTATTTGCAGATGGCTGTGGGTATGTGGAAGATGGACGTGAGATATTTGACGATGACCTGGATGATGACTCCATCATATCTGCCACATCACGGAATAAGAGAGAAAGAGTTGGATCAAAGAAAGGGAAGCGTGGAAAGGAGTGTGATCAGATGTCTGGTGGCAAGTGTGGCAGCATCAGAAGCTTGCTTATGAACATGCCAGCCAAGAAGAGGAAAGAGGTACAGAGAAACTGAGGCATTATATCTCAGTGTATTGTAGGAAGTGTTTCACAACAACTGTATTCCGCGGTGTGCACTTGTCAGCCACATGATGGCACACCACAAATTTTTGCCTCATGGAAAGGTGGTATGAAACTGTACATGGCTATAAATATGTATTTGCATATAAATCCTTTCCCCATAAATGTGCAGACATATGGAAACAAAATGTAGCACATGTTGAATAAAACTATTCATGATGAACAAGCATGTGTGTCTGTTTGTCTGTGTCTGTCTGTTAATTTTATGAATTCTAATCTTGATTAAGATAGTGCCTTTTTTCTAACTATAATGTGTGAATATGCAATTATAAAAATTCGTGGTCCACTTGAAACCTTGTGGCAGCGCACTGGTGAACACTATCTGTCAACATACCAAATTATGTGTCATAGTAAAGGATTTTGTGTGTGTACGTGTGACATTTAGGTTTATGTGTACCTGCATGCATAGATTCTTCAACAGATTATAAATATTTAAGAACAAATAATAAATTAAACAAGTGGCAGAGATATTAGGTATTCGTTTGTCACTTTTTCATCTACAGTTAAATTCACTAGAAGAGTTTTGTATGCTTGAGAACCTTATGTAGGCTCCCTGTTTGCAAGTGACATACTTGTAACAAAAGAATGGTGGAATCGGAACTGGTTAATGGAAGGAATAGATTGTATGTAATTTTCGAATTCCAGTATTTTGTATATGTACATTAAGGAATTTGTTGTAATGAAGACTTGCATTTTGTTCACATGTGCATTAGATCCTCCTTTTCCATAATTTTGAGAAGAATAAAGTGGATCAGATGTAGCATAAATGGGGGGGAAATAAGAAATACATGTAAGATTAACTTGAAACGACTTCTTGGGAAATCTAGGTGTAGATCGGAGGATGACATTGGAGTGGATGTTACAGGAAATGTGTGAATATGGTGGGGTTAGTTTGAGACAGTTTCCATCAGTCTGTATCATGATTTGGTGTTTTATTTTACAGAAGATGTGATGTATGTTTGATTTATTTATATATTTTTATGTTTTAAGGGGAAATTATTGTCATCTCAGTCTCAAGGAAATTCTTTTCCCTGTAATTTATTCTAAAAATGGCTGTGAATTATTGATATTTCAGAAACTTGAAGTTTGTTGTCTGATTGCAGGCACCTGTGAAACTAGATGAAGATGCCATTCTGGGAGATATCATGGAGGAGCTGAACAATGGTGATATTGGTTCGAATGTGATAAGACCTACTGCCCCTCATTCTGAAAGGAAGATAAGAACATTGACTCCAGTCCTGCCTGTAGATTTGGAAGCCAGGTAAAACTACATCATTTAAGATCTGATTCCGATACAAAAATGTAAAATTGCCTCGTCTGAATTTTACTATTAAGGACAATTTACTTATTGAGTCAGTTTGTACATATAAGAACTTCCTCTTGGCTTTTGATAATATTTCTGCAGATTTTCAGCATATTGTAGGGAATTGAAGCAAATCACATATCAGCTCTTAAGTCATGTGTAATTGTATGCTTTTTACCAGGAGCTATATCCAGTCACTGACTGGCCCTCCAAAGTTGACTGTGAACTCTGTGATTCCAAAGGCAGTGGCAAGAACTCAGATTGAAGCTGTAGACAATGAAGAGAAAATCAAGAGAAAGAATATGTTGCCAGAGGATGTAAGATAAATACGTAGCTTTCCTTGTTCTGAACATCACAGTTTTTCTTATGTTTATTTGCCTTCGTATTTGGGAGGTGTTGAGTATCTTTGCTGGAACAGATTTTGTATTAATTCTTACTTTATTTGGAAATATTCTGAAGCAAAATTCAAGTACATTGGAAAGCACCATTTTTAATTGGAAAATGTGTTCATCAAGGCTTAACCTGTTCACAGTACTGTCATGTATTTGTGTCCCTTTGTGACATATAACTTATAGATTGTTATGATGGAAGGTTGTTAGGCCTAATTTAATACTCTTACTGGAGGACCAGACATTTTCAACTGTCCATGACTGTTTAATCAATATATTTGCAACTAGTCTTCATATTTAGAGGCCATCTTTATTTCCAACCTAAGACTGCACTATGAAGTGGTGACAATGGACTCACTTAAATGCTGTAAGGAATTATTAGTCTTCCACAGGTAGAGAAAAAAATATTCTTTCCATAGTTTGGTGAATGAGTTATCACACCTGAAGTAATAATTTTATTTGATATTTGTTTCAGCATGATTCAGATGACATGTTTGTAATTAATACTCCTTCAAATGATGATACCAACCCTGTAACATCAGAAATAATTGCTGAATTTGACTGCAATGATATAGTTTTTGATGAAGCTGTCATTAAAGAGGTATGATTGAAGTGTTTCTCTGTTATAATTTTGCATGCACACCAGAGTGTGTACAAAGTACAGTGAGATTTTTTCCAAGCATCACAGAAAATAACAGAACAGCTACTGGAAACAAGCTTATGTGTTATGGGCTGGCCAAAGTCCTAGATTATGAATCCTGTGTTACTTTAACTCCCACTGATGTACTTGACCAGTGCAATAAGCAGTCTTTTACTCAGTTGTGTTATCTTCAGTATTGAAATTTCATGTGTGAGATACACATTGGAATAGTGATCATTTGTGTTCTGTGCCTGTACGAAAAGTAGTTTTACATTGAAAGTAAGGAGAACATTCTGGTATAAATTCCAGGATCTTATAGTTCCACATAGAAGAGGTTGCATAGAATTGTAAATAGAGGCAAACAGGGTTGTTACTGGAAGAAGATTCAAAGCAATATACCAAATGCTGAATGAAGAGTAATTGGATGAAATTGGTGCCAGGGTTAAACATATTTCTCAAGAATCCCTCAGATGCCTTGCACTGGAGACCAGTTTTTCAGAAGCATCAGCACAGCTTATCACAAAACTTCTGAAAGTGACACTCTATACTCTGTGCTGTGAAACTTACAATGAAGCAAGGCACACTAGCTGCCACCTTCTGTAAGACTCTTACTATTGTGTTTTCAAGCTCTGGAGACCTCCAGATTTTCATTTATGTAGCTGTATTTTTTCTGGAAGAGTAGGACATTATTGAAAATATGTATAAGCTTTTGCCAATATTAATAATAATTTATCCTCTTAACATGTCACAAGGTGCAGCTTGAATTTTTAGTTATACTACCTTCTAGGTAGTGTTGTCATGTTGTTAGGTAGTGCCATAGCTTTCTTAGACATGACCATATTGAAAAATACTATATTAATAAACTCTTGTTTGCAGATTCTGAATCATAGGGTGAATGTAAGGACAGTAAGTTGTGTGAATAATAAAATAAAAATAAATAATCTGTTTTTGAATGTATTTACACAACTGATGCATTTTGTACTAACAGAAATTATGCAGCATAATAGTTAAGGTAACTAGTGAATGACTTGCAACCACATGATCCTGCATTTACAGAACAGATACTGGAGTTTGCACAATCACAGACTAATATGCAAGGTTCTGTCATGTAACTACAGAATTTGTGAATGGTTAAGTGTGAGTGCAGGTTGGGTAATCAGAGCAATCTTCAAAGACACAATGCTAAAAGACATGTGGAATATTTCTGTCATCATTTGAATGACTGATAGATGAAGAATGCTGGTATGTATTCTTTGAATGAAATTGATTCAGGCATATGTGAACACTTTGAGGGAAGTGTTTGTGGACAGCAAGCTGCCCCAACCACAAGTAATGTTATTTTTATCTATGGGAAACTGTGAATAAAAATATTTCTAGATGAAATGCTCGCACAATGAAAGAACTGAAGGAAAATGTCCAAAGAGAAATTTCCTCTACTTCCCAAGAACTTTAGTGTATGAATGTAAATGTTTTACAGAGGTACATGCAGATCAACAGAAGGTATTTTCCAGGACCTGGAATTGGTGGTAGGTTTTATTTTTAACGTTTAGGTTGTAGGTGTGGTTTGTCAGTTCCACTAGCAGTCTCAGTGTCTCCAGGTTGACGTGAAAGGAGGAGAATCTGACTCTTCTGCCTGAGAGGCTCAGCAGTTATCAGGAAGCTTGAAAATAATCTCACTGTATATTCATAAATTAAACTATTATCTTACATATACATCTCTTCAGTTAGAGTTGTATTGTATAGTAAATATCCTTGATGGTCTAGCCAAAAAGTCACTGTTTTTACATATTTGTAGAATTAATTGGATTTTTCCCATCATACATTTCTTGTTTCTTACATGCTTTATGTCATCCATCCATCTCATACATATTAATGTGATAATTAATAATATTACAGGTGGAACTGGAGTGCCAGAAAACTGAGAACTTGAAGGAAAATGTAGTTAATGGAAGCCTATTGCAGCCACCATCAACCACACGTGCTGTCACTGGGTACATTCATCAGGTTATAGTATTGTTTTTGTGTGTGTCACCATGATAGAGAACTTTGTTTTTTATGAACCAAGGTAGAAATTCATGATCTTGGAATAGGTTTATTTCTCATGAAGGCATATTACCATAAATCCAAAATTCATAATTCATTCTTTGTCAACAGGTTGTCTTCTAATCTTGGAGCGCAAAAGATGCTGTAATAAATTGTTTAGTTGATTTATTAAATAAGTTATTGGTTTAAATTTGGCCCATAGATGTGGATATTGCTGACTAGTCTAGACTAGCATTATTTCATCTGTGATACTCAATGTTACTATGAGTGCACCACGAGTTTGGCGTGGAATGTTTTTGTGCAGGACAGGACGGCAACTATGCAAATGTGCACTATGCTGTTTTTTGACATTGTTCCCATCTCATAGACATAGACCCACAGGTCATCCACATGTTATGTGTTTGTGCATATGGTAGAACCTTTGTAAACATGTGATGATATCAAATGGGTTGATAATAATTTCCTTAGCTCTTCTCTCCCTTTTAACATAATTACTGCATAGAAGAACATGCATGTTGCAGAAGTATTCAACAATCGGATGGTTAATTGCTATGTTTTCTCTTTCTGCTTAGCCCAGTGAAAGTGGGACCGGAAGCAGATAAGAGATTTTCAGCTGTGTGGGATACCATGGCAACTGCAGGTGTTATTGGTTGTAGCAGCAGCAGTAGTACCAATGGTACAACAGATGTGAAACTTGACTTGACACAATTGCCACTTGTTTCTACAGAGTCTGGTGAGAAGGTATGTTTTATCACTGACACTGTGCAAATGTGCATGTGCCCAGGTTCAGTAATTTTCACTAAAATACTGAGCCTAATATGCCATCATGTGATCACCACTTGCAGGTGCTAAGAATCTTCTGGTGGGATGCATATGAAGAAGGGTTCAAGCAGCCTGGTGTGGTATACCTGTTTGGGAAAGTGTGGATTGAGTCAGCAAAAACTCACGTCAGCTGCTGTGTTGCTGTGAAGAATATCCAGAGAAGACTGTACCTGCTACCACGTGAAAAGGTTAGTGTTGAACTGTCAAGTCTGGTAGTAGAATCTGAAGGTCAAACAGCTCATACTAAAACCTGCTTTCAGATACTGTTATGTGCCACTTCCATTCAACTCCCTTCCCCACATCTAGTTCCCAGAGATACATTTTAATATTATCTCATTTCTTCAGTCTTTTAGACTCGTGTTCAGTCCATCTTGTAGGCTTGATTTCACTGTTCTTTCTAAAGTAGCAAGTGACCTGTTTAAATTGTGAAGGTCCTGGTTCTGTAGTATCTCTTGTACATAGGACGTATTACAAAACATTTACTTGGCTTTGCTTCCCTTTGAGTGATTTAATATTATTATTTGTATGTTTGTTAGTTTTTGATTAGAAGAGACAAGCTAGGACATTGAATGTGAGCCCACTTATTTCTCCATCTAAAGTAGTTGCCATCTTGTCAGACAACCATCACTTGCTGTTGCCATTCTTTTAACTGTTGATTACACAACAGTATAATTCCTGTATAGTTTCCATATTTTCATTCTCTCGTCTTATACTTTTTTTCAGTGATTCCTTTATATCAATCCTTTGGTATTGTTTTCTATCCTGATTTTCCTGAAAATCAAGTATAACCATTTCATCCGAGTGGGTTGTGTTGCTTTAATCATGTAGACAGATACTTTATCATATCCTCATGATTTATCAGTTTATGTTCATAAATAGAACATATAACACATCAACAGCAAACAAATTACAGTTTTACACTTTCACAGTTTCTAGTACTCTTCTGGCAAGGATGCAGTGGGTGGGAGATTTATCATGTGACAAAGGAAATAAGAAATACATGAAAATTTTTGATAGGAAGATTTCAGGGAAAGAACCTGGGGGACTGAGGTACTGATGGAAGGATAATATTAAAATGGGTCCTAGAGAGACAGATTTTAAAGATGTGAAATGGGTTGAGATGGTACAGTATATTGCCCAGTGATTGGCTTCTGTTATTAAATTGGTAGATTAACCAATTGAATAATTATCAGTTGCTCAGAGAAGAACCCTGAATCACATATTTGGTTTGTTAGTTACTTGGAAGTGGGTTGAATTGAAAGTATTTTATCTTTTATGTTCAAGACCATTATTTTTTTTAAAAACAAAGCAGTGAAGATTTATTATAGATGAGGATGTGTTAATTTTGTTTTCAGCATTATAACATGCAGACCAAGACATCACTGGATGAAGATGTGACCATTATGGACGTGTACAAAGAATTCAATGAAAAGATAGCAGAACGCTACAAGATCTTGGAGTTTAAGTCACGTAAAGTTGAACGAAACTATGCTTTTAGCATCCCTGATATCCCTGTGAAGTCTGAGTACTTGGAGATCATGTATCCAGTGAGTATGTGAGAACATTGGAGGTAAACTGGTACTGTTCATTGAGTAAACATTCATTCACACAAATTTTGGATTTGAATGAAATCAGATTTTGTTTCCATCCAAACTTTGAATAATTTTGTTCACTGAATGTCATGCTTTTGCTGTATACTGTGGCACGGTGGATATTCATGAAGTCTTCAAAAACTATATTAGAATATTTTTTCATACATTATTCATGTAGTTTGAAATTGGTAGGTATGTAACGAACATAATTTTTGTGGGGAAACTATTGGACAGTGAACACTTTCAAGAATAGGAAGGATGTGGTAAGATAATATTAAAATTGATCTTAAGAAGGTGGTTTAGGGGATATAAACTGGTTTGATGTGGCTCGGGATTGTATCTGTGCATTTTTTGGTTTTAGTGGTTCTGTTATATATGCATTAAATAACTAGTAATTTAGTTTATTCAAGCAATGCATATTATGATAGGCCACCCAGCCAATGTTGCCGTCTGATCTACAAGGTGAAACATTCAGTCATGTGTTTGGTACGAACACAAGTGCTCTGGAGCAGCTTCTATTGGACCGGAAGATGAAAGGTCCCTGTTGGCTTGATGTTAAAGGTGCTCAGGCAGTCACCAATCCTGTCAGCTGGTGCAAAGTTGAGGTAAGTTATAGGTAGGAGTCAGCTCCTGTTTTATTTGTTGGTGTTGCAATCAAAATAATTAACTCTTATAAGCTTATTCATTATGAAGTAATCTAGTTAAATATGATAATATTAATTTAAAAGTAGGGTTTGACATTCTCATGGTTGTGAGTACTAAGGTGGCTGTCTTCTGGGTTGTATCACCATGTGGTCAGAAGTTTACCAACATTTTATCAGGGCCTGATGATGGAGCCAGCAGTGACCTCTGAAATGTTGATAAACTTGTGCTACACTACATGGCACTACAATTCAAAAAACAGCCATCCTCATATTGCTCTCACTTTGAATTTTGTGCAACAATTGTATAAATCATTAGGTATTGGTGTGGTGCATTTTAGGGTTCAGAAGTATCAGGCTGTCAGTTAATAAATGAATTGAATTGAATTGAAGTTCCTGACATTATCCATATCTTGCATATCATGGCATTGTTATTGATGCTTGGAAGTTATAAAGTAACAAGATGAGAGGTCATTGAATTTGTTTATTCTGGGTTTTGCAAAAATTAATTGTTTCTATGAAGTTTCACAAGCTATGAAAGCCTCAGAATAGTTTATAATTTTGTATGTGGACTGTCTTTGTTATATGGAGTCATTGGTTGAAATCATATTGTGTTGTAGTAACAACTACTAGAGCACATATTGCTAACAGGAAGTACCTTAGTTCAAGACCTAGTCAGTCCTGGTTACAAAGCTGTAGTGTGATGGGTTTTCTCACTGCTTTTCTATTCCCACTGCCATCAGTATTTCTCTTGGTTATAAATTGTAGTTTTCAGTAGTTGGTGGAGTACTGTTAAATAAGTCGCTCTGTGTTTCTCAGGTAACTGTGATGAAACCAGAACATGTTGCCTTCTCCTTCCCCTCCACCACTTGTGGTGATGACATTGAACATGCGCACAGTGCTCCATCCTACGAGTGGTCACAATGAGATAGTCATGATTGGTTGCCTGGTTCATAATGGCTTCCATGTGGACAGAGCACCTCCTCAACCTCCATTCCAGCAGCACTTCTGTGGTCAGTATAATCTCTGTTGAAAATTCTTTATTATAGTGAGCATGTTAGGTAACTGTGATGAAACCAGAACATGTAGCTCTTTGTAACATGTTGCCTTCTCCTTCCCCTCCACCACTTGTGGTGATGACATTGAACATGCCACTTGAGGTGATGACATTGAACATGAACATGTGCACAGTGCTCCATCCTACGAGTGGTCACGATTGGTTGCCTGGTTCATAATGGCTTCCATGTGGACAGAGCACCTCCTCATCCTCCATTCCAGCAGCACTTCTGTGGTTAGTATAATCTCTGTTATTAGTTCAGTTTTATTGAACATGTGGAAAGGTATTTTTTATATTTATTTAGTGTTACTGTTGATAAAGTTGAAGTACTTGGAAACAATAGTAATCAGATTTATACCTTGTAATTCATACCTGTCATTGATATGTGTTTTGCTATGAAGGATAAGATCAGAGGTCTGGTGGAATCTGTCCATTTCCCTGGTTCACTTTACTGCCAGGGAAAGATAAGTTATTTTAAATTTGTGATTAATAGCAGATATGAGGAAGTATTTTTACTCAGAGGCTGGATAGAACTATTTCTATGAGACCTTAGGCCAGAAGGCCTAATTCTCTACTTCAGAAACTGTGAAGAGTTACCAGTTATTCTTCCAGATTGACTGTAATTTATAGATTAGCAAGATACATAAAAATTACTGTGTTAATAATTAATATGGACTTTATATTCTGAACTCTGATTTGTGGTCTCCAAATTATACTTATTTTGCAGTGAGTCTCACTTGACTTTGTGTTTAATTGTAGATATAATAAATTACCATAATAATTAATGGGCCACTTGAATTTTTCTAGAGGCCACAGTTTTTTCACCCCTGCCTTTTAAAGATTAGAAATCGTTGCAGAAATTGAATCGTATGATTGTAAACAGTGAAGGCACATTTATATTATGCTCTGGTACTCGACCATCGGACGTAGCTCGGCCATTTGACTTCACTGCTGCATCAACGAAGTTAGAGAAGGTGGACACTGAACGCGCACTCTTGGGGTTCTTTCTGGCAAAACTACACAAGTTTGACCCTGACCTGAATGTGGGCCATGATTTGTATGACTATGGGTTGGAACTCCTTGTGCATCGCATGAATATTAACAAGATCCCACAGTGGTCCAAACTTGGTAGACTGCGCAGAGCTAATATACAGAGTGGAAAGGTACTATATTTTGTTTATTCCTAACCTAAGT